TCTCTTTCTGTGTATATACATATACACACATATATACAGATCCTACATTTTAATGACTATAGGTTCTAGACCTAAGATTTCCAAAAGAACTTCCTGCCATGATGGAAATGCTCTTATCTGTGCTGTACAAAATGGCAGACATTAGCTACATGTGGCCACTGATCACTTTAAATGTGGCTCATACTAAGGAACTGAATTTTTAATTTTATTTACTTTTAATTAATTTAAATAGCACATAGTCTAGTGGCTACTGGATGGGACAGGATAGCTGGAGACACTGGGCCTATAGGGCTTAATGGATAAAAAGGCCTCAAGCCCAACAGGTTAGAGTTCTCCTTTAACTTGAAATTTTTGCTATTTTATTCAAGGTCAAGAGCTAAATTAAATGGCAAAGAAGGATGTTTTTGAAAAACCAACTTTAGGCATGTGACCTGGGCTTCCTGCAGATTCAGCTTACACTATTTATAATACACTATCTAGAATCAGATGAGTACTCAAAAGAAATAACCAAAACTACCATTCAGTGATAGTTTACTATATGCCAGGCAGTGTGCCAAGCACGTTATACAAATTACATTTAATTTTTATAACAATCTCTTATTATTTTCACAATTTTATGGATGAGGACTGGGAGACAGAGAGTTTTTTTGTTTTGTTTTTTGAGGAAGATTAGCCCTAAGCTAACATCAGCTGCCAATCCTCCTCTTTTGCTGAGGAAGAGTGGCCCTGAGCTCACATCTGTGCCCATCTTCCTCTACTTTATATGTGGGATGCCTACCACAGCATGGCTTGCCAAGCGGTGCCATGTTCGCACCTGGGATCCGAACTGGCGAATCCTGGGCCGCCAAAGCAGAACATGCGCACTGAACTGCTGCGCCACCAGGCTGGTCCCAGAGAGTTTAAATTACACATTCAAAATTACAGAGCTATAGGGGCTGGCCCCATGGCTGAGTGGTTAAGTTCACGTGCTCCACTTCGGCAGCCCAGGGTTTCACCAGTTCAGATCCTGGGCGTGGACATGGCATGGCTGATCAAGCCATGCTCAGGTGGCATCCCATATGCCACAACTAGAAGGACCCACAACTAAAAATATACAACTATGTACCAGGGGGCTTTGAGGAGAAAAAGGAAAAAGAAAATATTAAAAAAAAAAAGATTACAGATATAAAGTGGCTGGGCCAAGATTCAAACCTAGTTCTGCCTGACTGAAAAGCTAATGCCTTTCAACCATAATGCTATACTACCTCTTTAATATAAAAATTTGGGGTCATTTTTTAGAATAGTTTACTTTAAAATATAAGATATATCTAACGTATGTAAAATTCACTTTGCCTCAGGAGGACCTAAAAAGAAAACAAGAAGAGATTTTAGAGCAGCTTAGAGAGTACGTAAAAGGTCTGTGCGATTGCCCCTTAGAAAAGACATACCGGATATTTAAAAGTCTCAGGATAAGAAAACAATGGTTTCAAATATGAGTCCTCAATCTAAAGTCACAACGTTCCGAACTGTTGGAGTTGTTTTGAGATGGTGCTACTTCTTACCAGGATTTGCTGTGCAGAGTATTTCAGACAGGGAGTGGCAGAGAGATTTCTTTCTTTTTCTTCCCTCCCCAAAGCCCCATTACATAGTTGTATATTCTAGTTGTAGGTCCTTCTAGTTGTTCTATGTGAGCCGCTGCCACAGCATGGCTGCTGACAGATGACTGATGTGGTTGCCTGACCAGGAACCAAACTTAGGCCACCAAGCAGTAAGAGTGCCGAACTTTAACCACTAGGCCATCAGGGCTGGCTCGAGAATTATTCTTTAAGGATGATTAATGATTCTCTCAAACAAAACGAAAGAGCTAGCCAAAAATGTATTAGAAGTGAACCAAAGGAAAAGCAAGAATCTTAGTTATCACAGACATAATTATCATCATTATTAAGGGAATTAAAATATTTTTTTCCCAACAATCCAATTAAAGACTTTCTGATGTATATGCTGATGATCTTCCAATCTATTTCCTCTAACTCTGATCTCTCCCCTGAATTCCAGACTTACCTAATCTTCAATTCACATCTTCAATTACAAGTTCAACTAGCAACTCAAATAAACATATCCAATACAGAAATCTGGGCTCCTTGAGCATGTTCCTCCCTCAGTCTTCCCCACCTTGTTTGGCACCTCTTAGTTCCAAGGCCAAATAACCTAGGAGTAATCTTTGATTGCTCCTCTTCTCTCAACTCCTCATTCAATCCAATAGGAAGTCCTCTTAATTCTACCACCCAGATGCATCTCAAATCCATCCACTTTTCTCCATTTCCACTGCTAATTTCCTAGTCTAAAACACAATTACCTTCCCTTTGAGCTGCGGAAAAATCTGGTCTCCCTGCTTCCACTTTTGGTTCTCACATAGTACCAGTAGACTTTTGAAAATGTAAACCAGATTATGTCCGTACCCTGGCTTAAAATCTCCCAATGACTTCCCAACATCCCTAGATATTAATCCAGCCCTTGCCATGTCCTACAAGTCCCTAAAGGAGCTGGCCTCATCTGTCTGTCCAACCTTCTCTCCTACTACTCTCTTCACTTACTGTGCTTTAGACATACTGACCTTCTTCCTATCTTGAACATATCAAGTTCAAGGACTTTTACGCCTGTTATGTTTACTCACATTGCTCTGCTCCTAAATTTTTGCATGACTAGCTCTTTCCTGTAAGTTCAGCTTAAATATTCCCTACCTAAGAGGCTGCCTGTGGCAGAGCTATCTAAGATAGCCCCCTGCATTCTACATCACTGTCTTAGCCCATTACACTATTTTATTTTCCTTATAGCACTTATCACTTTCTGAATTATGTTGATTCTTTACTCACTTATCTACTGTTTGTCTATTTCCCCATTTAAATGTAAGCCCCATGAGAATAGGGACCTTGTTTTGATTTTATTTTTTCACCTCTGTGTCCCCAGCATCTATTATCCTAGGCATATGGTAGAAGCTCAATAAATCAATATTTGTTGAATGAATGAATGAATGCAGTTCCATATTGGCAACTTCTGGCATGTCCAGTCCAGAGGCATAAGTCTAGCATAAAAAGCACCTAAATGCCAGATGAGGGAATTTCTGTTAGTTCTTCCCTTCTGCTAATAAAGACAGAAGCTCTAAACTTTCTCCCACTTCACTCTGCCCTATCCCACTTGTCTTTCTATCTTGGCATGCTCTGTGTCTGACTTCATGTTTGGATTTTGAAAATAGGTTTTGGGGGCCGGCTCCGTGGCCGAGTGGTTAAGTTCACGCGCTCCGCTGCCAAGGCCCAGGGTTCGGATCCTGGGTGTGGACATGGCATCGCTCGTCAGGCCACGTTGAGGCGGCATCCCACATCCCACAACTAGAACGACCTGCAACTAAGATATACAACTGTGTACGGTGGGGGTTGGGGAGATAAAGCAGAAAAAAAAAAAAAGATTGGCAACAGTTGTTAGCCCAGGTGCCAATCCTTAAAAAGGAAAAAGAAGAAAATAGGTTTTGGACTGTTCCATACAATCCTGATTAGGAAACCTGGCAAGACCGTCCCTTGGTAGTTGTTCCTTTCTCTGGGGTAACTGTACCAAAATCCTAGGCACGACATGCCATGAGCTTAACAGCCTGCCCAGATCCATGACAATATGGGCTTAGCAGCCCCATGCCCATCCAGAGAGTAAAATGAACACCTGCTTCTGTCTGGAAGGTTTCTATCAGCTCAGCCCAAGGACAATGAGTAGGGCTGCCTCAGGCATTCTGAATGTGGTCTGAGATCTCAAAGGGATTTTCAGACTCAACTGCTTTGCCCAGACTCTGTGGAATCTCTGCACAACTGGATGCCATGAGTTTTCCTTTTTTAAACTTTGTTCACTTAAGTTGTAAACTTTGTCTCCGGGGGAGGCTGGCGGAGATCGACCATTGTGTCTGAAGGGGTATTTATCTTCAGGTAATTCTGGAGTTTTGCCTGGAAGGAGCAGTCTTTCACTGTTCCTGGGAGACAGTCCCCAATGGGGTTCATCCCTCTTCCACCCCATCTTGCATATAGATACTGTGCACCCCGTTTTTCCTGTTTCTCCAGTCTCCTTCCTGATACCTCCCTCCCTTCTTACAAATGTTCGAAGTGAGGCACTTATTTTCTTCTTTACTTACAATAATAGTCAAGATATGCAAATAGCATGTGCTAGCATTAACCCTTTCCACAGTCCTAAGAGATGGCTGCCATTAAGTTTTATAACATCTAAGAAACAGACTCACCGAGTTTAGGAAACTTTGCTTTGGGTCACCCAACTAGAAGTTGTGCAGAGTCAGCATTCAGAACAAAGGACTATCTGCCTCAGGCGCCCAAGATCTTAACCTCTCAGTCTTCAACTTCTGAAATGCGGATGGTTCAGTGACCACATGCAGGGCAGGGTGCTAGCCCCGGGGACAGGACACAAAATGGGGACGAAAAGGACCCCACCAGCATGCACTAGTGAAGGGGACGGGGAAGAAATCATCATAGAAGAGCGGATCGGGCGGAGCAGTAAGACCCTGTAGCGAACAAAGGTAGCTCCCGGGGAGGGAGGAACTCAGACCCAGAAATCAGGCAAAATGGCAGCAGCAGACGATGCGCCGCCTGGAGGGCTGCGGCCAAACCGCGTCTGCACACACTGAGGGAACGGCAGCTGCAGCCCTGGGAAGGAGGGGACGGCCAAGGGCCTAAGGGGATCCGCGCCGCGGACACGCCGCCGCACGGCCCCCGGGGCGGCCGCGAACAATCTCGGGCAGCACCCGGGCGACCGCACGGAGCCGCCGGGAGACAGGCCTCCCCGGGCGCGTGCCTCGGCCCCCCTCCCCGTTAGGCCCGACTTCAGACGCCCGGGAGTCCAGACGCCCGGCTGCGGGGCGGGAGGGGCTTGGCCCCTCAAAGGGCCGCAGCGCTGCGCTGAAAACGGGACAAGGAGAAACACCGGTGTGAATAAAGGCCTAGGCAGAGTTGGGAGGAGCGGGGAAGAGCCCTTACCTCATGGCGGCGGGGTCGGCGAGGGAAGCCGCAGCCCCTCGGGCTTTCTCCTCAGGACCGGGAGCACGAGCTGACAAGCGGCGGCGCGCGCCCGAGCGCGTCCGTGTGCGTGGGCGCGGGTGTGTCCGTGGGCGCGGGCGTGTCCGTGGGCACGGGCGTGTGCTCCCGCGCTGCGGCTGCCCTTTTCTATCGGTGCGGGGGGGGGGGGAGGGGGTTGGTCTTCTTGAAGGCGGGACCGAGGCGGAAAGGGTAACTGGAAAGTGAATCTGATCCGCGACTGGGCGGCGTCCAGCTGCGGGAAAGGAAACTTCTGCAAGAGGTGAGGGGGGCCCTGGCCGGTCTGAGGAGCTGAGAGGAGACGTCTTGGGAGCCCGGGGTCGTTGAGTGCGGAGTTTGAAGCCGGGGACTTTGAACCTGGGGACTTTGGTCTTGGTTCTCATCTGTCTCGCGGAGGTTCTCTATTGAGTTATTTTTGTTTTGAAGAACGTGACAGGAGATTGTTCAGCGTGATTTGTGTTATGAGGGTGGCAGCGATGCTCTTTCCATCTTTATGTACCCTGAGCTGAAACGGAAGTCCCTGCTCCCATTCTTGTCTCAACAGACAACACAGGTGGTGCACCTGTGCCATTATTTCCGTTGTGTAATTATAGAGAAATTTGGGGGTCAAATGTATATATATATTTTATAGTTCCCTAGCTATTGCTGAATAGCTTTGCAAAGAGATTTATACACCCTCACCCACAATCCTATGAGAGCGGTTGCCTTCCGTGCCCTTGTCAACCATGCTTCCTGTAATAAGGTCCTAATAAAGAAGGGGTGGTATTGGGAATCTAAGCAGAAAGTGCTAAATACACTAAAGTTTTGTCCCCTTCGAATTCAATCATTCATTCATTCAACAAATTTATTAAGCGACTGCTAAGAGCCAGACATTGTTCAAGGCACTGTCAATACAGCAATGAATAAAACAGACAAGGGACAAGCCCTGCCTCCTCACTGTCTTCTGCGTCTGGCTCCTGGATATGCAGAGAGAGACAAGATAATTCTCAAACTTTGAGAAAAACTTAAAAAGGCACCAGTTATCACTTTTATATCATTCCGTTGACTTTGCTTTGTAAATGGACAACGATGTACAGTCTCATTCTGTGGCCACTAGTCTGAACACTGCTGACTTTATTTTTTACTTCGAGAATGCCAACGAGACATGTAGGTTTATTGGCTTTACTTAGAGGGAGGGTGTCCAGTGGCGGCCAGCTGGACGGAAGTATACGAATACCTACGTCCGCCCCCTAAGAGAAGCTTGCTTAAGTAGGCAGAGGAACAAAGGCTGCATGCTTGCCAAAGGGCTGTCCTTGGTAGGACCAGTGTTCCTAGGAACAGTAGGTGACATGGAGGGTCTCTGTGTCCCTGTAAGACAGGATGTTGTTCTTCTGGGATAAGGGAGGATCCAGGCTGGCCAGGCCCAGATGGTTACAAATCCCGGTAGCTGGGCTGCCTGCCCAGAAGGGAGCCAGAAGCACATGGTTGCAATGGGCCTAGGGATTTTTGCTAAGCAAGCAAGGCCCAGGCCCTCCATTATGTCAGATGGTGCTATGGAGAAAAAGCATAGAGAGGGTTGGAGTGCAGGGTGTTCTGCTGTTATAGATATGTTGGTAAGAGAAGGTTTCACTGAGAATGTGGCAGTTGAACAGAGATCCGAAGGGGGTGAAGGAGTGAGCACTGTGGATATGGGGCTAGGGAAGAGCATTCAAGGCAGGGGAAACAGGAGGTGCAAAGGCCTGGAGGTCAGAGCACACTTGGCATGTGTGGGTGGTGTGTGTGGAGTGGGGAGAGCACGGGGGATGTCTGAAGAAATGAGGTCAGTGAGGTAATGTGAGTGTGGTGGGCCTCTGGGCTATTGTAATGTTTATCCGAAGTGGGAAGCCACATTTTAGAAAAGGTACTGAATGGTTTATTTGGGATAGAAAAATAACCCAGAGTTTCCTTCTTACCAAGGAAGTAGAAAAGTTTAATAGAGCTGCAATGTTTGAAAAAGTTTCCCATTTGTTGATGGCGTTTCTCTTCCTTGTTTCCTTCGTTTCACTTAGCTGTTTCTGGGCCAATAGATTGTCTTTGCTTATTAAGGTTTAAATGGATAGCAGCTAAGCAATCAGTGGTAAAAAATCAAAGGAAAAAGAAATCCTGCTTATCTACTTATAATGTTTAGACATTCAAATTCAGAAATGCAAAAACCATCTATAAAAATTTTAAAGGAATATACATTTTCAGGATTGAGAAGAAACAAGGGCCTGACAGTTGAGTGGGTGTTGAACATGCTGAAGTTCCTGGATGCAATTTGAGTATCAGTCTTTTTTTCCTAGATTTTTGGGTTGGGTGGAATCTTGGCAAAATCAGTGGTGTATTGTCTTTTGAATTTATTTGTTTCAACGTGTAAAACAGAGCAACTAGAGAACAAGGGAAATAGGTTGTGAAACCTGCCAAGTGATCTAAAATCTGCTTGGGAAACTGAAACTTAAGCAATAACTCTTCCAAGAAACACACGTAAGTCAGTTCTCAACCTTGGCACTATTGACATTTGGGCTGGAGAATTCTGTGTTGTGGGAAGCTGTCCAGTGCATTCTAGGATGTTTAAGCAGCCAGCTTGCATATACCCACCAGATGTCAGTAGTACCCTGCTGTTGTGAGAACCAAAATTGTCTGCAGATGGTGCCAAATGTGACTTTTTTCTCCCTTGGCTCCCAAATCCTCCCCTCTCCTCTTATATCCCCCTCAGTTGGGAATCACTGCTGTAAATACTACCCTCACGTACATTCCTCATTTATTTGAATTAGGCCACATAGCACAGTCTCCAAGAGATTGGAGGTAGATTCCAGGTAGGAGAGCAAAAGTTGTATGCAAATCAAGAGAAGTTGGGGATGGCACTGGAGTTCAGGAGGTTCCTGGGTGAGAGAGTGGGTATCAAGGGGAATGTCAGAAAAGGCCTACTGCCTTCAGCATAGGGCTCCAGAGTGGAAGTGGCTGTTACCATGTTTGGTCTGGCTGGGGAAGAGATACAAAGCTATGGACACAGGCTTAGGGTGGGTAGTTCAAGCTGAGGCAGGCTGTAGGGTAGATGCCCTTGGTCCCAATACAGGTCCAGCTCTAGCAGCATATGGAGAATGGGGACATTGGTGGCCAGGGTGGTCCCCAAAGAGCTGGAGCCTACAGTGGTGTGTAGACAGCAATTAGCAAAGATCTGGGTTGGGACTCATATAACAGTAGGGAATGGCTGGAGCTGTGGTTTGGCCTGATTTAGGGGTACCTGAGAGACACTCCCTGGGCACTTGGAGGAGTCCTTGAGTGGGAGAATCTAAATAAGGACAGCAGCTGTGGTTCTGTCAGTCATTTACATGGGAGTAACAAGCTTCTGAAATTAGGCTGTCAATTTAAAGAGACCTCTTGGTAATGCCTGGAGATATTCATGTGTAAGTTTGGCAAAAGTATTTTCAACACCAAAGAGCATTCATTTTCCTGAATTTGCTGCATGTTTTTCTCTGCAAATATCCAGACTGTCCCACGCTTGGTTTTACTGAGTTCTGGAAAGTGCAGAGATCTCTTCTAGAATTGCGAGGAATGGGATAGAGAGATGGTATTAGGTTATAGCACACACTAAGTAACCGTGATCTCTGGAGATTGTCAAAGACACCTCTCACGAACACATTACATAATCCAGAGATTTATTTTGCATTAATGAGCTCAGCTTTCTGGGTTCAATGATGTATAGCAATGTCTGGGAAGAGTTGCCTAACAGTCAAAGAATTGACTAATTATCCAAGAATTATTTGCTTTTAATATTGCTGACTTTGGCAGAGTTGGCAGTGGTTAGACTTATTTTAGCACCACGCAGCCTCCTTACCCCAAATCAAGAACTTTAAGGTACTGTTTTTGTTAAATCTGATAAATCTCTTGTTTTAGTGATAGTGAAGTTGGGAAGATTGCTTCTCTGTAACTCTTATGCCTCCCCCTCAATGATACACATTTTGCTCACTTCAATTCCTATAGAATTTCAGTTAAAATCCAAAGCCTACCCAAGATTCCTGTGAATTCCATGGAGACTTGTATTCCGATGTATTAGGGGTCCCCACCAGGAAATGCAGGCAGCTCTAGAAGCTGGAAAAGGTACAAAAAGGATTGTCCCCTCCAGCCTCCAGAAGGAGTGTGGCTGCCAACAGCTTGATTTGAGTCCAGTGAAATCCATTTCAGACTTCTGACCTGCAGAACTGTAAGATAATAAATTTGTGTCATTTTTAGCCACCAAGTTTGTGCTAATTTCTTATAGCCACAATAGGAAATTAATACATCTTCTCTCAAATCCAAGAATAAAAACCAATAACATTGTTTCCTTGTGTTTCCTCTTAAAAATATTATTTGTTGTGCATTGCCTTTTAATAAAATGTCATAAGGGAAGGTGATTGCTGGGGCCGGCCCCGTGGCCTAGTGGTTAAGTTTGCCCACTCTGCTTTGGCGGCCCAGGGTTTTGCCGATTCACATCCTGGGCTCAGACACAGCACCACTCATCAGGCCATGCTGACGTGGTGTCCCACATGTCACAACTAGAAGGACCCACAACTAAAATATACAACTATGTACCAGGAGGCTTTGGGGAGAAAAAGGAAAAATAAAATCTTAAAAAAAAAAGTGATTGCTACAGATGGGCTCACAGATTATTTAGCATCCTGTTTATATTTCGTCATCTAACTGGATCAGTACCAGCACATGACTGAATAATAGTGCTTCAAACAAAATGGCATAAAACAAGAGAAACTACATGGGACAGTTTGACAATGAATTATATTTCAAACATCTTCATGGTGAAAGCTGAGCTTTAATTGACTGTGTGCTTGTTTTACCCTCTCTCTCTCTGACCAGATAGTGTGCTGCATGAGATTTTGGGAAAATGTCTGCTTTGTTCACTGATGGGTAACAGAATATGCCATCCCCAAATATACCACTATGGCATAAAGATTATTTTGAGCTGAAGGCAATTCTGAAGAAGCAGATGTAAGAAAAGCTCTCTGCCATCCCCCTATCTGCCTAAAAGCAGGACAGAAATTTGTAAAGATGTCACCCCTCCCCTCTCTACCAGGAAGGACAGAAGTTGAGCTCCTGGAACAACTCTAGGCCCTTATCAGCCCAGAGTCACTACTAGAGGAATCTATACAACAAACCTTAGTACCTAGCCCTTATCTTCCATTAGTTTCTCTCACGTAGTTATTTTGCTATCCTAGAAACTCAAAAGTTCTATTCCTTGGTCTTAGCAGTTCTCTAAAAATGTATTGTTGGTTTGTTAGGGTGCTGTATAAGCCAAGTTCTAACTACTCCTTTGAGTTTCTCATCACTAGGTACTCCCATGTTTATGTGTGATGCATATGTTAATAAACTTTGTTTTTTCTTGATACCCTTTTGTCTGCCTAATTTATAGGGCCCCAGCCAAAGAACCTAAGAAGGGTAGAGGAAAAAAAATTTTTTCCTCTCCTACATCACCATAGTATTTTTGGTATCTAGCACTGAAAACTATTTGTTGATAAAATGAATGAATTAAACATTTCATTTTATGTAAGTCCTTTGTTTTATTTGCTGCCTATCTACTCAACAAACTTTTTCCTACTATATAGCATTCACAGAGAAATGGTCCCATTCTCTCTCTCTTCCTTTCTCTCACACACAGAGACATATATATTGTTTCACTATTTTTTGAATGCAACTATTTTCCCAGGTTTGAGTAGTTATTCAAAAATTGCATCATTACAGTAAATTACATAACATGTTCTGAAAGCAGCAAGCAGGTAAGATGATTAGTATGTGTTAACATAAAATCAGGTGAAATAGGAAAGTGGTCGATACTTCAGTGCCTAGGATCATGTTCCACAGAGTTCTCAGTCAGCAGTGAGCCTCAGGGCCCTCCAGGGCTTTATTCATTTCTGCTTTCAATTTGTGAATGAACTGAAGGATTCTCATGGTTTCTGTGTCAAATGAATTTCTCTGAAGTTTCTTTAAAGCCAATTTCTCCAAAGACCTGATACTTTTATCTCTTAGAAAAGATGCGTTTTCTATTTCTGCTGCTTTTAAATAATGGATAATTGCATGGTCTTCAGATTTATTTTGAAATTCCTGAAATCGGCCATAGGAGAAATGTACCCTTTGCAGCTTTTCTTCTTCGAGTACTTTCATGGTTAACACTTTTTGATAAGTGTCTTCAGCTTTTCTGTGGTCACCTGCTTCTATATACATTTCTGCCAGGTCTACATAAGCAATATCAAGTGTGGGTTTTTCTTCCAGAGCAAATTCCAAATGAGATATGGCTAATCTTGCAATTCTCTCAACATTTTTTCTATCCTGTCCTCTAGGCTGCCAGTTTGCAGCTTTCTTCATTTGAATCACTTGTCCTCTGTAGCAAAGCCCTATCTGGTGATGCACGAAGGCAGAGGAGGGTGTTGCTTTCAAGGCCTTTTTAAAGAGCTGAAGAGCTTTATCCAGAGAGCCTTTTTTTCTGTAAAACTTGGCCGCATATCGAAGGACATAGGTCTGCGAGGACGTGTTGGTCAGCGCTTCTTCAATGTACTTTTCTCCTTCAGCTTCTTGTCCTACATCCTGAAGCTTCAGGGCAAGGAGAACCTTAATATATCCATCTTCTGAATTTAGCTTGACGGCCTGTTTTAGTGTGTTCAGACAGAATGCCTCACTCATCTGTGTTGCTCCAGGAAAGCCGTCCAGGCGATAGGCGGTGATTGCATACCCAGTGCTGAATTCAGGGTTTTCTGGGTCCACTTCCAGAGCCTTTTCAAAGCAGGCCTTGGCCCGTTTATAATTCTTTCCTCCACATTTCAGCAAGGCCCATCCTTCCTCACAGTCCATCTGAGGACAGTCGATTCTATAGCTGGAGGGATTTGCAAACTTCTTGCAAGTGTTCTCCACCTTGTCCAGGTAAGTCTGAGCTTCTGCCAGTCTGCCCATGTGGTAATACAGCCAGGCGTAGTTGCCCCAGGTAACCAGACTTCTCATGCCTGATTGGTCACCATGTTCTTCCTGGATTAAGTCTTCAGCTTCTCTCAAGCTCTTCAGGGCTTCCTCATTCTGGCCTTTCAGGTGTTTCACATAGGCCAGTAGGTTGTGTATTCCCACGTTGTATTTGGTGTCTAGGAACTCAATCTCATCGAAGATCCTGTTTTCCAAATCAGGCATTGCAGTGTCTTCAATTAGCAAATCCCATGTAAAGTGACATCTCAGCTGCTCCAGCCTGTCCTTGATCTGATCTCCATCCGCATTCTTACTGTAAAAACAAAAGCAGATTTTCTTTGTTAGGTGAGGAACAGCCAATAGAAAGAAGCCAGCTACAATGCCTCATATTTAGAGCTCAGCCTTGAACAGGGCACACCTGCTTTGATTTCCCTTAGGATCTCTATATGTCTGAGATCCACATAGACTTTGAATGCATTTGCTTGACTCTGTACAGTGGCTTCAGCTCTTTCTAGTCAAGTAACCTCTGTGTGCTTTGGACTTCATTTGTAAAAAGGGGATAATAATAGTACTTATTACATTGGGTTTGGTGAGGATTAATAAGCCTATATATGTAAAGCGCCTAGAGCATATTACATGCTATACAAGAGTTTCCTATTTTCCTATTAACTTAATTAGGACAGAGACCAGTTACAAATACCAAACCTTAGAAAACATTATTGACTTCAGGACGTTAGTCTGCAGATTATGCAATAAATTAAGACCACCTAAAAGAGATATTTAACCAATTTTTTTTCCACTTATTATTTGGAAATAATTCTAGATTCATAGAAAGTTGCAAAGGTGGTATATATGTTCAGTGTACCCTTTACCCAGTTCTCCCAATGATTATATCTTACACAACTATAGTACAATCTCAAAACTAGGAAGTTGACTTAATACAATATGTGTATAGTTCTGTGTCATTTAATCACATGAATAAATCCATGGAACTGCCACCTCGATCAAGATGAAGAAACTACCCCATCATCACAAACATCTCCCTTATACGATCACTGTATAGTCCCGCCTGTTGCCTCCCTACCTCCCCAAACATCCCTAGCCTCTGGTAACCACTAATTTGCTCTTCGTGTGTATAATTTTGTCATTTCAAGAATGTCATAGAAATGGAATTGTATAGTATGTGACCTTTTGAGGTTGGCTTTTTTCACTCATCATAGTGCCCTTTACATCCATCCAAGTTGTTGAGTTTGTCCATAGTTCATTCCTTTTTATTGGGGAGTAATATTCCATGGTATGGGTATACCACAGTTTGTTTAACTTGTCATCTGTTGTGGGACATTTCCGTTGTTTCCAGGTTTGACCTATTACAAATAAAGGTGCAGTGAACAGTTGAATACAGCATTTTGCGTGGACATGAATTTTCATTTCTCTGGGATAAATACCAGGAGTGTAATTGCTAGGTCACATGCTAAATGTGTGCTTAAGTTTCTAAGAAACTGCCAAACTATTTTCCAGAGTGACTGTATTATTTTACACTCCTACTAGCAATATATGGATGATCAAGTTCTCTGCATCCTTACCAGTATTTGGTATTTTCACTTTTCTTTTAAAATAGGTTTTCTAGTGATCTCTCATTGTGGTGTAATTTGCATTTTGCTAATGGCCAGTAGTGTTGAACATCTTCTCACCTGCTTATTTGCCATCCATATATCCTCTTTGGTGAAATATCTCTTTGCCTATTTTCTAATTGGATTGTTATTTATTGTTGTTTCAAGAATTCTTTATAGATTCTAGATATGAGTCCTTTGTGTGGTATCTTGTTTTCAAATATTTTCTTCTGGCAATGTAGCTTGTCTTTTACCTTTTAATAAGGTCTTTTGAAGAGCAAAAGTTTTTACTTTTAATGAAGTATAATTTATTGATTTTTTTCTCTTATGGATTATGCTTTTAGGTATCATGTCCAGGAACTCTTCACCAAGCCCTAGGTCCTGAAGATTTTCTCCTATGATTTCTTCTACAAGTTTTATAGTTTTACATTTTACATTTAAATCTGTGATTCATTTTTAGTTAGTTTTTGCCTATATATATATGTGAAGATTATGTCTGTGGCTCATGTTTTTGCCTATGGATATCCAATTGCTCCAGCACCAGTTGTTGAAAAGACTCTTCTTCCTCCGTTGAATTGCTTTTGCACCTTTGTCAAAAATCAGTTGGCAGTACTTGTGTGGGATTATATCTGGGTTCCTATTCTGTTCCACTGCTCTATGTGTTTCTCTTTCCACCAATACCATACAACCTTGCGTGTAATCAGTATTAAAATTGGTTAGGGTGATTCCTCTCACCTTATTCTTGTTTTTCAAAATTGCTATTCTAGTTCTTTTGCTTTTCCATATAAATTTTAGATTAATATTGTCTATATGTATAAAAAAATCATGCTGGAGTTATGATAGAAATTTTATATCAATTAGGGGAGAATTGACATTTTTACTATGTTGAGTCTTCTAATTCATAAACATGCTATATCTCTGTTTATCTTTGATTTCTCTCATCAGCATTTTGTAGTTTTAGGCCTTCAAGTCTTATACATGTTATATTATGTTTACACTAAAGTATGTTTTTTCAGCAATTTAAAATTATATTGTATTTTTAACTTCAATTTTCCACATGTTCATTGCTAGTATATAGAAATACAAGTAATTTTTGTGTGTCAGTCTTGTATTTGGCAACCTTGATGAACTCACTTGTTAGTTCTAGGAGTTATTTTGTAGATACTGTGGGATTTTCTATGAGAACATCATGGCATCTGTAAATAGGGACAATTTTATGTTTTCTTTCTGATCTGTATACCTTTTTTGCTTATTAGAGAACTTCCTTTAGCTATTCCTTTAGATAAGTTTGCTGGTGTGAAATCTCTTAGTTCTCCCTCATTTGAGAATTTCTTGATTTCCTCCTCATTCCAGAAGGATATTTTTGCTAGATATAAGATTCTGGGTTGAAAGTTCTTTTCCTTAAGCACTTAAAAAATGTTTTGCCCCTTTCTTCTAGACTCTATAGTTTCTAATGAGAAATTAGCTGCCATTAGAATTGTGGAGTTTTTTCCTGACAGGTAAGGTGTTTCTCTCTGCTACTTTCATGGAGTTTTTTCTTGGTCTTTAGTTTTCAGAATTTTGACTATGATGTGTCTTGGATTTTTGGAAGTTTATCATTTTTGGAGTTTGCTCAGCTGCTTGAAATTAGTATCAGATTGGATAATTTCTATTATTCTGTATTCAAGTTCATGAATTCCTTCCTCTGTTCTCTCCATCCTGCTCTTGAGCCAAATCATTGAATTTTCATTTTGGTTACTGTACTTTTCAGTTCTAAAATTCCCATTTGGTTCTTTATATATTCCTTTGCTGAGACTTTCTATATTTTCATTTGTTTCATGTGTCTTCATAATTGCTCATTGAAGCACTTTTATGATGGCAATTTTAAAATGCTTGTTAGACACTGCTAACATCTGTGTCATTTCAGTGTTGTTGTCTGATGATTATTCTTTCTCATTCACATTGGGATTTTCTTGGTTCTTGGTATGACAAGCAATTTTTAATTGAAACCTGGACATTCGTGTATTATATTACGAGACTTCAGGTCACATTTAAATCTAGTTTAGGAGGCCTCTTCTAATACCACTTTGCTAGGAGAAGAGGAAGGACATCTCATTCCACACTGCCGGGTCAAGGTGGAATCTAGTTTACCCACTTGTCTTTCATTAACACTTTATGGGGGACCTGGGCTCCTCATTGTTGCTGGATAGGGGTAGAAGTTCGGACTCCCTCCAGGCTTCGGCTCATACTACCCTGGCTGGGAGGGGCAGGTGTGCCTTGTTATTCTTCCCCATGTGGCCTTTAGTGAAGCCAGGAAGGGAGGTGAGTTGGTAAGTGTGGCCTTATTGCCTCTGGGTGGTGGTAAAAATCCTGAACTCCACTAGACTTCACTGAAACCTCTTCAGTGGGGAGTGGGAGGGCATCTCATTACTACCAGGTGGTGTTAATATCTAGACTCCCTTTGTGGTCTTCAGTGACACTGAAGAGAGAGGGACCCTTGTTACCCCCCATGAAAGTCTGTGCACCCCACTTGGCCTTCTCTGGTATCACCCTGGTTGGGGGAGGGGGAGGGTGAGAGTTGGGATGCCTAGCAGTAGCCTGGTTAAGGCAGAATTCTAGGCTCCCCACTCAGCCTTGTTGGCAGTTTTCAGAGTGGGGCTACAGTTTTTGTTTATTTGTTTATTTTTTCCTGTGCTGTTTGGCTGGAGTAGAATGGTTGTTGTTTATAAGTTACCGGTCTTGGTAGGCTGTCCCTTTTTTGGTCCTCTGGCTAGAGAGAGCAGCTTTTCATGGGACATTTCTGTCCATGCCTGTTGGCATTTCTAGGTTGCTGGCTTCTCCAGCACTCAGTCTGGGATATATACAGGAAAGAGAAGCCCACAAAACTCGCTGTTGTGTTGTTCCTTGAGTCCCAAGTTTCCTAGGTGGTCTGCTGCTTTTATCCACAGTTCAGTGTGTTCTTATATTTGTTTTACATTTTACGTAAGAGGTTTTTAACTGTATGTAGAAGGGAAATGGGAAATATACATCTACTCCATCTTTCTGGATGCAGAAGTCTGTTGCCCAAGTAGTAATATGGTTTATCCTACTGCCATCACTAGAATGGTGTCAAGAGAAATGACAATAACCGTTGTGCTTGAAGGTATGTGTGTATGTGTATGTGAGTTAGGTGGGGGAAAAGTGGTGTTATGTTTTTCCTGTGTTCTCCTTTTGCTCTGTAGGCAAGGCAATTGGTTTTGTTACTCAAAGGAAAGAGCACTTCCTCTTATGCCTTCTCTGTAGGATACTGACTTCCAGAATAGTCAGGCCTAACTGAGGTTTCAAATGGTAGAGCTGGATCAGGGAATGTGGGGATGCATTGATCTGGGACACATCATGGTGAATTTATCCAGCCAGTTTTTAGATGAAGTACTGAGGAGTGGTGGATTTCCCTCAGCATAGCAGGCTCTGCCCTAACAGTCCTAGGGCATTGGGGAAAGGAAACTGGGGAGAAGAAAACACTGTGCATGTCCAAGTAAGCCAAGTCAGAAATAGTTGCCTTTTACTGAGTAAGAATGTGGCCTGTGGATGACAGCTTCTGGTCATCTCAGTTACATTAGTCATTCTATACTTCCTGTGGGAAAGAGGCAGACTGGGTAGAGTACAATCTCAATGAGTAACTACCCTACCTTCCACTCAAATTAGATGACTTAAATGAAAAAAAAACCCAACCCAAACCCCCAAA